ATCATCATTAGGGGATCTATCATAAAAAGATACTTTTTTAAGTTCAATATTATCTAACTTCTTTTTAGAAGGTTTATCATCCTTATAAGATAAATCAGTTTCAACAGTATGCTTGCTACAAGAAGGTGGAACAAAATCCAAAATATCTTTACGATTCTCTTCGATTTTACGGCAATATATTATTAAATCTTCCACAGAATTTATATCAACCAACAGAAGTTGATTTTGATAAAATGGCAATATGTTCTTTCTAAGAATTCTTAGTTTCATTGAATCATCTACTTTTATAGTTAACCTACTAAACAAATTATTCATATAAGCTACATAAATTGCTATGCTTTCTCTATCTCCCTGAGTCCTAGACTTTATTTGTTCCCACAGTTTCTCATTAAAATCTTTAGGCAAGAATTCTTCTCTAAAATAATCACACAAAGTCTCCCAATCATTAACCTTATTCTTCAGTGAACGATAATAGACAAGAGCTTTTCCCTCAAAAAGTTCTACAGCACTTCTAAAAGTTTGCTGAGTAGACACCCCTCTTGAATCTCTAAGTTCATTGACCCTTTCCAGAAAAGCATTTAATCCCAGAGCATCAGATTCTCCACTAAATTTTAAACCCCATTTGGAAATATCAAAGTTAGAATTTAAAGAAGTATTCGCTAACTGCTGTGTAACTGTAGAAGTACTTGAATTGGCATTAGTTGTTTGATTTGAATTTTTAATTGGAGTTGAAGTGCTAGCGCTTTGTAAAATGCTACCCTGAAACAACATATCCACTGGATCACTGCGTTTAGTTTTAATAGAATAAGTCTGTTGTTTACCCTCAAATTCCGAAATACAATCTAAAGAATACGATAATAATCTAGAACGTTCTTCTAGTTCACCCTTATCCTCAGATGAAATATTTTCTATCCTAAACAACACATGAGCAAGTCTAGCCTCTAACTTCCTAGAAAGTGTATAAGTGAACTCATCTGACAAACTTTGTTTAATTTCCTGTAATTTATTTTTGCAAATTTGTAATTCATCTTTTGCTGAAAAATTATTATAAGTCAATCTAAAACTGTGGCCTTCAGTTTGCAATTTTAAAAGCTGTTTTAAGGTATTTATCAGATCTTTTACAGTACCTGTGGGCGTAACACCTCTGATTTTAATTTCATATTCTAATTCTTCTTTGTTAAGCCTATCTGGATGTAGTTTAAGAGACATTTTATCTGTTTAGTAGTTTGTGACAAGTAAAACAATCAAGATAAAGCTAATATTGTTAAAGTGAATTTTAATAAAACTGTTCAACTACCAAGAATATTTATGGAAATTGCCTGCACTTGGGTTCTAAAATAAAGTATCTAAACTCTATAAAGCCAGTTGGGCGCCAAATATGATACCCCCACAATCAGTGTTAGGTATGCGTGCAGGAACTACCAGTAATTATGTTGCAATACTTGTCTGAATATTGATATTCAATTATGAGTTGGGGAAGAACCAGTACAGTAAAAATAAAGAATGTGTTTCCCTAACAGCAATCCGGAATTCAGCGAAATTGGAGCGTTCTTACCCAAGTCCTTGCTTTTAATCACTCGCCAGCTCAGGGAAAACGTACCGGAAATAGCCAACAGCAACAGTAGTTCTTGATTGCCTTTACGTGTTCTGATTCATCAGTGTCACTACCACTCTATAAAGGAATACAATTAATTATAAATTTCAATCTCCAACCCAAGGACATTCTTACCACCAGGTCCTTTTGTGAAATTCTGAGAAAGAGGTTATTTAGAATTCCAACAAAATAAAAAAAACTCGTGAGCACGGGACAAGATGGCTATTTACTTGTTTATCAACAAAAGAAATACAACCAGTAAGGATTCATGAATATGCTTCCATTTCTATTCTTATTTTAAACACCAATTGATACCTATCGCAATTGCGTTAAGCTTACAGTTTTTTTATTAATTCTAATTATGTTTCATCAGCCTGAAGGGCATGTATTATTTTCCAGTCCAGATTGTATAGCCAATGAATGATATATGTGAAATTCTAAATATCTAATAATTACCCTTGAGTAGGTAAATCTTTTAATTAAATTACAATGACAAGAAGGTAAGTTCTTCTTTATAAATTTTACTTATCTTAATCACTTCTGGTACTGTTGGGTCTTCGACACGTCTCCTGAGCTGCGATGTTTCTCGGCGGACTTTGTAATCGACGTTCCACTCGGTACTCGTTACCATGCAATAATCAAGGTGCCAACTAACCCTCCAATGACCAGATAAAATCTCACAACGCCAAGGTGTATTCGTAACAACGATCCTAGACTCTGTCTCCAAGGTAAAAATGAAAGGATAGGCTCTCAGTCTTCCCAGCAGTCTCTCACAATTTCAACCATACAAAGAATCTACAGTGAATATTTATTCCTACTAATCACACGATCAAATCGAAATAATTAACTACTTACCCTGCAATCACAGGATTCTTGTATAATAAAATGATATCAGCACAGTGGCCAAGAATACTTGCACCACGTGGAATCTTCAGCAGCGAAAATCTTCCAACTTGGAAAGTTACTCACAGGAAAATTATTCCTACAATATTTCCTCTAAACCAGGCAAGGCTATGAATCCCAATTAATATTTGGAGAACTCAATTCACAATAATTAAGTTACTAATTAGCACTTGAACCTTCGATGCTATTACATCAGCTGCTGGAAGCGAAGAGAGAGAATTTTCTCGAATCTACCTATCAAGTAACCTATCACATTACATCTTTGACCTAACCTAGGAAAACACAGAGACGGATTCAAACATACGAAAACGAATGGTCATGTAAGGAACAACATTACACTTTTTCAGAATGGAATCAGACAACCAGGTAAGCTCAAATATCCCAGATCATTCCCTCAAAAATTATCATTCAACTGCAGAACTAGTTAGAACACTATTATGAGATGCATAAAAATAAAAACCAGAATCTATTCCAACAATCTACTCCGATCCTGGAATTGATAACTCAACGGGCTGAACCTAGCGTATGACGGTCGAAAGATTTCGCCTCCAAATAGCAACAAATAGAAATCTGCATTTTTGGTATCGAACCTAGTTCACTGACCTGGAGCAACAAATACGACGATCAACAAAATAGAACTGCAAAATTTCAAGAGAACCTAACCATTATTTATTGTTTACAATGCAAGATAAAATAATAATTATTGGAATGAATTTGGATATCCACCAGCCGAATTATCCAGGAGAAGAGATTGAAATAACTTATAAGGTAAGCAATTAATTATATTATTCATAAAATGTGAAACTTGTGTTTGATTTCATACAAATTGTTTGATATTGAAATGTTCTTAATTTTACATAAACAATCAGCAATTTGTTTATATTGTTTTTATCTTTTCAGATATCCAGAAAATAGAAAGTGAAACAAATTAATTAATTGCCATCCTCCCTCGCATTATGATATGCACTGCGACTTATCCTACCAGCGAACAAAGTGAATAAACAGAATCAAACTAAGTGAAATTTGTAACAATAACCAATAAATCTTTGAAAAATATGCTGTTAATTATTTATGCCTCCTGACACCATTCAATGAAAAATGCAACCGTAACATCTTGTTCCCAACCCCTTGTTACTTTTAAATATGAATATATGGGATTTAGGTGAACATTCATCATAAATCATGGTAAACAACGTATTTGATGGACCTGATAATGGTCATCAAATACGTCGATTTCAATTTTTTATGATAGATGTCCATTTAAATCCTATATATTAATATTTAAAAGTAACAAGAGGTTGGGAACAAGATGGCGGCGTGACCTCTATTGTCGCCACTGTATGTAAAGGTTTATTTAGCCACTGTATATCCTCTTAAGGCCTGTGTAGTTCAAATCTCAAGCCCCTCACCATGCTAAAGCACCAGTTATGACGTAGCAGCGTGTTGTTTCCCGTTTCCTGTTTGCACACGTCGCCAATGGTGCTACAACATATGACCGCGATTACCAAAAACGAGGCCGAACGCACTGGTGTATAATTATAACCCAGCATATAACCATTTAGGCCCAGCCTTCTGTGCATTTCATCTATCTGTTTGAATTTTTGAAGTTAATTGTTCAGAGGCATCAGCGTAAAAGAATTCTCAGAATCAAATATTATGTTAATGAGATACAAATGGGTGCAGGAAAAACAGTTCCAAGGACATTTTAGATTAAGTCGAAATGCATTTGAGCTATTACTAAATTCAGACTATTTTTTTTTTCATTTATTATTTTATTTTATTTTCATTATGAACCAACTGAAATTTCATGTTCGTTTGCAAAGTAGTGGATTGAAATAATGAAAAAACTGACTGAAATTAACCTAGCGGTAGAGTTGGTTATAAGAAAGAGTGCACACTGGGTAGCACTTCGGATATTTTTGAACTAGCGTGAAAGTCAACTGGGCACTCTAGGTGCTCTATTTCTGAACATATTTAAGCTGTTCATTTGTACTGCTTTTCTTGCTTCAAGCGCTTCAAGCAGATCTTAGCAGCTGATCTGCGTTTATACTTGTCCCATAACTCCCATATAATAAGCTCATAAATAGCAGCTCTTAGCAGATCTTCCTGATTTTTCGAGCAGGTAGCTAGTTCAAATGAACAGCCTAATTGGGGCTTTGGTTGGGGCGTTGCGATAAATGTCAAATCCAATGATGTAAAATTACGCCAAACCCGGTAAAAACCGCGTTTTTCAACCTAGTCTCCGAGTGGGCTAATTTGGACGCACTCTGGGGCCATCAACTATCGATTTCTGAAAGATTGTAGCATAACGCTCCGAGTAAGCACCTGTTAATTTATGAACGGTTTAGAGTTACTCTAGGGTCATTCTCACACCCAGAGTGCTATTTCTAAACGCAACCCTGAGCCGCTTTCGGGTGCCGCCCTTTGAGCGCTCCCGAGCTACTCCGAAGTACTCTAGCTCCAGTTTGACCCGTTCGGGTAAACAGAGTTTGGCTGCTCTCATTTCCTCGCCTCTTTATGATTGCGTCACGCTCCGGGCAAAACGGTTTCAAGCGTTTGGGTGCAAAACGCTTGGAGTATAGTGTGAAGTGTTTTAGGAGCTTCGCACTCTGCACCCGAAAGCGGTTCTGGTGTGCAATCGGTGTGACGCCTAGACTGATTCAGAACGCACACTTGTCGAAAAAGGTTTTCTACGGTCGTGTCTAGTGTCGCTGAAAACAGAAATGGGGATAGACGTTCGGCCAATCAAAACGCTCCAACGCCCGTAGTATTCGGGTAAATAGGAATTTTGTTGCGTACCAATTTCCTGCGCACAGTGTTGCCGCGTGCAGAATCGTTTTCTGTAGCTCGTAGCCTAGCAGTTCGACATCCACAAAACTTTTGAAGTTTTGTTTTCAAAAAATTTCAAATGGTAATTTAATGATATTTTAGATAGATTTCTCCTCCTCGTACATAGTTTTTATATAGAATATGTGTTATTTCTCTTTATCGTCTCTTCTATTAAAAAATAAAAAGGTTTGGGCATTCAAATAGGCCAGAATTGATATTTGTGTACCCCAGTCTGTCTGGCAAAAGCATTTTTTCAGTTAATAAATGTGCCTTTCGTCTATGATAACTAAAAAATGAGTGCCAACGTTGACGAAGACAAGGAGCCCCAAAAGGCACTGCCTTTGGACTTGGCTCGGACTCAGATAACCACTGTGAGGACAGTAGAAAGTAACAAAGCCCCTCTGGTGATGTCCAGCCAAGCTCTACGAAATGTTCGTGTTTTACAAGGTGTGAATGCCATCCCTGCTTCAGTTGGACAAACCATCATTACAAATTTAGTGCCAGGAACTATGATAAAACAAGGTAACTACTAAGTAGGCCAATAACTTATATTTACCTTAATCAGTACCTCCTATTTTAGACACAAATAGAACCCAAATAACTGGCATTGTTTCACAATCTCAGCCCCAATCAGGAGGTATAACAATCCAGAGACCCACTCAAATCACTTTATCAGCAACGCCATTGGTCTCTGCCCAAAGCCCTCCAGGAACCTCTTATCATGTACCACGAGGGCCTGCAGTTGTTGCCAATTTAGCAGCCCCCAGAAGCAATGTAACTACCATTAGAACCCCTTTGGTGGTAACTGCACAAAATACCCAAACATTCGTGAGGCCGCCCAGGACTCCAAGTCCAGCCCAAGCTTGGCTAACAACCAATAATACTAATGGTGGACAAATCAAAGGGACCCCCGCGGTGCTAGGATCGCCTATTAGGGGGCCTACAGTGACAGGAAAACCACAAACGGTGATCGGAAGGCCTCAGTCGCAACAATTACCTACAATTAGAGGGACAATATTGTCTAACGCCATTACTATAGGACAAACGGTAAGAATTTTTAATTTTTTTTCGTGTTTTGTTTGAGATGTAAAGAATGATGATTCATTAACTCTAACCTAACTAATTTTATTATGCTTCGCAGACTGTTTTTCGTCTGTCCATATAATTGAATAGTAAGCAGCATGCTGATCAGCTGACAAAACTGAGTTAGGTTTTCAAAGCTTAATCCATAATCAATTAGTATAATAATGTTATTTCTCTAGCAAAGATCCTAATACAAAAGAGTACATGAAATGAAACAGAGTCGGAAGATCACAGTAGTACAGAATTAAAACATATCTGGACAAAAATGTCACCAAGTTCTAAGTATACTAACTATTTCTATTTTAAATTTTTTACCTGAATTAGGACTTGGTATTTGATAAAGGAGAAGGGATATTATGTATAATCATTTGACATGTAGAGGTATAATAGGGAGATTTTTTTGTTAAAGTAAGTCTATGTGGCTTGTACTTAGAACCCTTTTTAAAACCTAATGTTCTCGTGTTATGACTGAGTTTCGTTTTGCTATCAAAAAGATGTTTATTGAAAATGAAGAACATGCATTCATAAATGTTCACTGCATATGTCTACCATCATAACACCCCCATACCTTTAAATACTGATCTACAGCTCTGAACGTATTCCATTTTCAACGATTCTGATTAGCCTTTTCTGGCCAACAAAGATATTTTGCAACCTAATGTTCCTTTCCCAGAAGATGATTTAGAACAGATTCAAAGTTGGTGGAATATAATATCTTCAATAGGTCCTCATTCATGTAGGTACTTACTTACTAACTTTCCTACTACTATAACAAATAGAATTCAGGTCTGAAACTTTGGATTTCATTGGTCGGGGTATTTTGAACTGCTGTCTTTTTAACAATAAAACATTTGTTTTTCCCCTGTTCAGAATTTATTTATTAGCACAAAACCAACTCTTTACCATGTCGAAGGACTCCTCAGTTTGAACTGACAATTATTCTTGTAATGTTTTGCTGCTGAGGTCATTCAAAAACACTATGAAAATTATATATCGACCTCAAAAAACCGTCCTTCAGGTGTCAATAATACTAGAACTTCACTGATCTGGTTCTTTTTTATTTGGTAAAATCGATGTTTTGTATTTCGTGCAAAAATTCCTAATCAAAATCGGTGCAGAGCGCTTTCATTCACTTTACTAAAGTATTTAACCTGCACACAACACCCAACCCTACTTTCTTCTACTTATTTATTTACTCTAGAAACCTAATACATACTTATATTATTAGCTCATTGGAAACAATCGAGGAAACAATTTGTTTTAGATATGAAATTTCAATAGGAAAAAAATTACGTAATCATTATATTTATTGCCAATAACCAACTTTGCTAGGCAATAAAAACTTATATGGTTTATGAACTAATGAGGTTTCATAAAATCCAAAACCACAGATTCCAAAACACAATAATATTTAATTATTCCTTGAATTTCACAATACTGCCTGCATAAGGTGAAACAAGGTTAAAGATCTGGGTATTGTATTTGATCACAAAATAGAATTTTATTTGCATAATTATATAAATATTATACAATAAAAGTTTAAGAATGTTAGGGTTGTACACTGGATAAATTCAGTAATATTAAGGCTTTGATTATTCATCTTTAGATAAACTTGCTGGTAACTATTTGGTAGAAAAATTTATCGTTCTTTAATTATATTGGTTGGCAGATAACTGGCCGACCAATACAGTTACAGATTTGCGTTTTTACAGTGATTGTCATTTCCCATTCTCTAAACAAAGATAGCTTACTCATTGGTGAAGTCACCGATTAGAATAAAAACGAGGGAATACCTGACAGTTTATCAGAAGGTGAATAAACCAGCTCGTGTACTTTGCACTTATCTGATATTTGAGGCAATATCAACGGGAATATGGAATATGCAAGTCAGACCTGTTTGAAGTTTCACTATGGAAAAGAAGAGGTTTATAATGGATGTAAGATTAAAGTTTAAAAGATGAACAATAATATTGAGTGTCCTAAATTGTTGGAAATGATATTGTTACAAGTTCCTCAAAGCAGCTCTAGAAATTAACACCCTCCTGAATTCCCAAAATTTTACAAAATCAAACACTTTTCCCAATTTTCAAGGGTCCTACTAATAATTTAGTTAAAAATAACAATGTCGATGGTAGAAGAAGACGTCAAGTTACGAGATTTGTTGGTACAAACGTTGGAGAAGAATGGATGCTTGGCTAAACTTAGAGCTGAGCTTAGGCCTAACGTCTTTCTTGCCCCTCAATGAAGACGAAAAGCTGAGCAAACAGCAACCTTTTCAAAATCCCATACATACTATATTCTGTCTGGTACACGAATTTTTAGAATTTCTCAACCTCCAATATACCTTATCAGTGTTTAATTGTGAATCATATTTAACAAGTGCAGGTGTAGATATTTTTATTGTTAGTCTAAACCAATTCAATAGATTAGTTGGAATACCGATTTTCAAAAAATATTCACAATTTTTTGAACACCTGCACAGGTGGGATTAGGCAACAAGAAATATTTTTACAGAAATTGAATACATTATGCACTAATAAGGATAAAAAAGATGTGTAGTATGCATTGCTCACAGATAAAAAAAAGTGGCATATACCGGGTGATTGTCTATATTTTGCACCCACATTATCTTACTGTTTGAAGAGGTTTGAAGAGATACCTAGAAATGTCAAATGTAGGTTGTAGGTAATATCAAAAACTTTGCAGTGAAGTTAGTTATAAATATACAAAGTGTGTCACAAAAGTGTTGCGAAACAAAGTTATACTTTTTTAAATGGCACACCCCGCATATTATTGACCTATTGGATTAGTCTTTCAAACCTGATTCCAAATATACTAGGATTTTAAGATTCATTCCTCATAGTCCAGCCTCTGAATATCCAATTTTGAAAAAATAATATGGATTTTTTACATGAAAGATTACGTTTATATTTTGCTGGTGGTCTCTATATTCCACCCTTTTCAATAAAAATGCAATTATACCACCCCTTTTTCTCCTGGACTATTAGGAATAAACCTAAAAAACCTAGTATGTTTGGAATCAGGTTTCAAAGGCTAATCCAATGGAACAATAATATATGGGGTTCTCTATTTCAAAAAGTATAACTTTGCTTTGCCACACTTTTGTGACACACCCTATATACCTACTTGTAACTAACATCATTGAAAACTTTCTGATATTACCTACAACTTCAACATTTGACATTTCTTGGTATCTCTTCAAACAGGTGAGATAGATGTGGGTGCAAAATATAGACAATCACACAAAGAATGGTTTCTCTAAGTGATACTTTGATGCTAGTTCTATACTAGAGATAAATTTGACACAGTAGCTATGTTCCTGAAGTCGAAAGGAAAAAATATCTTTGATTGGTACTATCTATTAGTACTTCTATCACTTGTGATCGGGGAATAATGACATGTAAATTTTCAACTTCTCAAACTTCAATTTCTTGCCCCCCATTTTACTTATATTTTATGTGGCTTCATTTAAGTCATATGTATGACGCTCATTGCTCGTTTATGAATGATTGTAAATAAGGTTTTTTTTCTCTAGCTTCACTCTTTCAAGCCAGCTTCTGGTACCATACAACTTGGCGGTACTGTGACAGTAGCACAAATGTTGCCAGCTCGTACCCAGCCAGTAGTCTACAGTACAAATACAGGAGCTCAATTCACACCCACAGCTAGACTAACTTTGGCAACAACGTCGCCAGGTCAGATGAAACCTGGACAACCGAGACCTATGGTAACTTCCAAAATTCAATTAAAATATGTAATTGATTTTTGTTTGAATTATAGGGTAACATCGTCAGTGGGGCTCGTCTAACGGTGCCCCTCTCCCAAGTCCAAGCAGCCCAAAATACTCGAATGGTGGCTCCAGGAACCCTACGAACCACTCAACCTCAAGTTTTGACTACTGGCGCCAGGATTGTGACCAGTCAACCTTCTGGTAACTTAATTGGAAGGATTTCAACAGCAAACGTTACTAATCCCGCCAATATATTAACTAGCCAGGCTCGTATATCGACTCTGTCTACTCTAAATATACAATCTTTGATGGCAGTGGCTAATGGCACTCCAGCTAGACTACAGCAAACTTCACAGGGGCCAAAGGTTATTACCCAGCCTGCAGCTACTATACATTTAACTCCCATTCCTTCTCAAATCAAAACTACACCACCTATACCTATTGTTACTTCAGGAACCAGAACAAGTAAGAACAATTTAATTTATCCTAACAATGTAGTGTATACTACTAATGTGGTACAAATGATATGGTGCGATTAAAATTATTGATTTCTTATATTTTTACAGTTAATGTTCCAGCGTCAATTGTAGCCCAAAGACCTCTTTCTGGAGGGGCTATCTCCATAGCAAAAGTATTTACAACCGAGAACCCATCAGCGGTTCCTGGAACCACCAGTGTTTTTATACATGCGCCCTTGCAAGCTCCTAGGCTTCCTGTTCCAAGTAAGTGCTTTTTAAATGTAGCTTTCAATAAATGACCAAGAGATCCTATGAAATAAGGATTTCTCACATCAATACAAATGGGGCTTTATACGCAAAAACCAGTTTCTAAAGTTTTAGTTTGTAAGACATGATCCTCTAATACCCACACAACTTTTTTAGGCCCTCAAAACGCACCCACTTCGACTCCTCACCAACAACAGCTGATAACGTCAGTGGCATCAACACAAGGCCCCACTTATCCTTTGACAGCTCAAGAAGGCACCACTGGCTACTTTTATGAAAGCCCTGCAACACCAACTGGAGCTTTCCAACGTGCTTTTGTCAGTCAACACCAGAATTCTTTTATCGCTCAACCCTCGACTCAACCCCAGAGTCAGCCACAAATTATTAGGCCCACTGTGCCTGTTTGCAATCAACAATTTCAAGGTAAAATAGATTTTTTTAAAGAACATTACCTTCCATTTATTTGTGTTTAATTTATTAGGGATGCGCTTCAACTCTGTAATGGTAGTGGAACAAAGTCGAGCTCAACAGTCTACGGCACCATTTCAGCCAATCGTCACTCCCCAAGTGGTTGCAGAATCACAAACCCCGGTGGAGACTACAGTGCAACAACAACAACCAACGGCTCAAAATCAAAATAAGGCAACATCTTCGCCGAGGCCCAGTATACTAAGGAAAAGGGATCATGAAGGTGCACCTATGAAAGCTGCTAAAAATCTAATGCAGGCCTTGCAAACTGCACCGCCGTCGCCACCATCACCTCCAAGACCTGATTCGAGAGATAATGGACACAGTTCAGGTAAAAATTCGGATTTCCATCTATTTTGCTGTATGTAATTTCAGTAGGTATCTTGGTATTTTGTCAGGACCAACTGATTTTTTATTTAGATATAGCTTCCTCAACGTTTTGTAGAGTTATAGTAGGAAGAGTAAGAGGAGATTCAAAATTAAGGGTATCAGTAAATTGGGTCCTTGTTGTATTTTGGGAACGACCTAATGTCGGGGTGTCAGGACGGCCCTAGGTACCTGGCCTATTATTGAATTGAATATTTTAATTCTGACATGTCTTAATTAATGTTATTTATTATTATTCATGTTATTCATTTTTCTTGTTAATTATTTCTATGCAATGTTTTATTATTATTACTTTTTTTTTGACCTGTGTGATTATTTACTTTTATCGCCACCAATAAAAAAATAAATAAATATTGCATTTTTGCTAGCCAAGTGCTATTAATGAAGATATTATTATTATTATTATTATCAAAATTCTAGGCAGCACAACAATATCAGCCACATCCAGTCCGGGCTTGGGGGAAATAAATGAAGACAGTAACCCCCTTGTGGCAATGAACGCAATCAAAGAAGAAGAAGAGGAAGACGTCAAACCAGCTTTGGAGATGAGCCCGCGCAAAAAACCAAGAAAACAACAATTAACCACCAATAGCAAAAATGATACTGCCTTAAATCATGGCGATATGCAATTTATTTCAGAAAATAATGCGTCCAAAAAGGAAAATAATTACGACTCTGACGACGAGCCATATTCGGATTCTGTACAGAAAAATGGCGGGCCTGAACCAAGAATTGCAACTGTGAGTGTTCTCCCTTGGGGAAAAAATATATATTCAATAGATAATATTTTTTTCAGCTGCGTAAACCTGCATCTTTTACTTTGCTGAACGGCTACCGTCAAAACTGGAAAGCTACTCACAATCACTATCAGAGGTATTCAGATGTAAAACCGAAAGAAGACAAACGCCCATCTATAATTGATTTGGCCAATCAGAATCGAGTATTGGAGAAAATTAACGGGTGGAAAGTGTATCATTTGTCGACGCAAATGGATGATCTGGTAAGACATTGTTTAAATATTAAAAAATATTTTAATTATGTATCTCTATAGGCACAGCAAGAACATTCCGTTTACGATCAGTTGACTGATTTATTGAAATTCACTGAATCTGAAGAAACTTCCAGGCATGGGCGAGAAGTTAATACAGTAAACGAATTGATTAAAGTAAGCTATAAACAATATATAAACACCATATGTATTTTAATTCATTTTTTTCTAGGGAAATCTTCAAAGAATCAAAATAATCAACGACGGTATGTTGGACGCAAAATGTCAGATAATGAAAGTGTTTGAGCACCAACGTCACGTAAACGACATACTGAGCCGTTGCGCCAGGACACGTAATTTTAAAAAACGGGAGAAATCATAATTATTATCTATATATGTGTTGATATGTTTATGTTTGTGTAATTTAATTTTTTTACGTACTAACTACGGAGTATTGTGTTTGATGTAATTTTTCTTTTCTGACTCCCAAGTTTAAATATCAAAATTTTGTATAAATAAATATAGAGATTTTTGAAAAGAGTATATATTTTAGAGTTTAAGTTTGAGTAATGTCTTTGTTTCTACAAATAAATTGTAGTTCGAGTATGTATATTTTATCAACTTTGAGTAGGTATGTAATAATAAATACCTTTCGAGATTTTATTACGGAAAAACGTGTTTGTTTAAAATGGCAACAATTTGTTGGTCAGAAATTTTCATAGAATCTGGCTCCAAATCTCAGAATAATTTAGTGTATGGAGTTCGGGGGATCCCAAAGGACCATTTAGAACACAAAATCTCCACATAAGAAAAATTGAAATTTCACGTTTTAGTAAGAAGGACCTTATGATTTAGGTTTTGAAAAACTTTGGAAGGTCATAACTTTTCTTCAATTATAGATAAAACGCTGAAATTTTCAGAGATTTTTGCCCCAGTAGATGACTACAATCTCTGAAAATTTCAGCTCATTCGGACTTATAGTTCCTGAAATAAAATTGTGTTAAACAATTTGGGGTGATTTATCAATTTTTCTAAGTGCCTTTTTTCATAGAATCTGGCTACAAATTTCAGAATAATCAATAATTTAGTGTATGAAGTTTGAGGGAACCAAAGGACCATTAGGACACAAAATCTCCACATAAGAAAAATTGAGAAATTTCACGTTTTAGTAAGAAGGTAGAGCTACCCTATGATTTAGATTTTGGAAAACTTTGGCAAATTATAACTTTTTTTCTATTATAGATAGAAAGCTAAAACTTTCAGCGATTCTTACCACAGTAGAGGACTACAATCCCTGAAAATTTCAGCTCATTTGGATTTATGTTGCTGAAATAAAATCGGGTTAAGCAATTTTGGGTGATTTTTCAATTTTTCTGAGTGCCTTTTTTCATAGAATCTGGCTCCAAATCTTAGAATAATTTAGTATATGGAGTTCGGGGGATCCCAAAGGATCATTAGAACACAAAATCTCCACATAAGAAAAATTGAAATTTCATCGTTTTAGTAAGAAGGACCTTATGATTTAGGTTTTGAAAAACTTTGGAAGGTCATAACTTTTCTTCAATTATAGATAAAACGCTGAAATTTTCAGCGATTTTTACACTAGTAGAGGACTACAATCCCTGAAAATTTCAGCTCATTTGGACTTATAGTTCCTGAAATAAAATCGTGTTAAGCAATTTGGGGTGATTTATCAATTTTTCAATTTTTCTGAGTGCCTTTTTTCATAGAATCTGGCTCTAAATTTCAGAATAATTTAGTGTATGAAGTTTGAGGGAACCCAAAGGACCATTAGAAGAACACAAAATCTCAATACAAAAAAATTTAAAATTTCATTGTTTTAGTAGAAGGTAGATTTAGATTTTGGAAAACTTTGGCAGGTTATAACTTTTTTTCTATTACAGATAGAGAGCTGAAATTTTCAGCGATGTTTACCCTAGCAGAGGACTACAATCCCTGAAAATTTCAGCTCATTTGGATTTATAGTTCCTGAGATAAAATCGTGTTAAGCATTTTGGGGTTATTTATCATTATTTTAATTTTTCTGAGTGCCTTTTTTTCATAGAACCTAGCTCCAAATCTCAGAATAATTTAGTGTATGGAGTTCGGGGGAACCCAAAGGACCATTGAGACACAAAATGTCAACTACAAAAAAATTTGAAATTTCATCGTTTTAGCAAGAAGGTCTTATGATCTAGATTTTGGAAGGTCATAACTTTTTTTCTATTATAGATAGAAAGCTGAAATTTTCAGCGATTCTTACCCTAGTAGAGGACTACAATCCCTGAAAATTTCAGCTGATTTGGATTTATAGTTCCTGAAATAAAATCGTGTTAAGCAATTTGGGGTGATTTATCAATTTTTCTGAGTGCGTTTTTTCATAGAATCTGGCTCCAAATCTCAGAATAATTTAGTGTATGGAGTTCGGGGGATCCCAAGGGACCATTAGAACACAAAATATCAATTAAAAAAAAAATCAAATTTCATCGTTTTAGTAAGAAGTTAGCTACCTTATGATTTGGATTTTGGAAAACTTTGGAAGGTCATAACTTTTTTTCTATTATAGATAGAAAGCTTAAATTTTCAGCGATTCTTACCCCAGTAGAGTATTACAATGCCTGAAAATTTCAGCTCATTTGGATTTATAGTTCCTGAAATAAAATCGTGTTAAGAGATTTGGGGTGATTTATCAATTTTTCAATTTTTCTTAGTGCCTTTTTTCATAGAATCTGGCGCCAAATCGCAGAATAATTTAGTGTATGGAGTTCGGGGGAACCCAAGGGACCATTAGGACACAAAATCTCAACAAAAAAAAATTTGAAATTTCATCGTTTTAGTAAGAAGGTATTTTTTGTTTTTTACCCCCCTTTATGATTTACATTTTGGAAAACTTTGGAAGGTTATAACTTTTTTTCTATTATAGATAGGAAACTCCAAATAAATAGTTGAAAATTGTGTTTTGTACATTCTCGGTTGTATAGATACAATAATTTTCCTAATAAAGAAATTATTCTGTAGAAAACTGGAATTCTGTTCACAAAAGAGAGTTTTGACCCTTAGAAAAATTTTTCAAGGAATATATTATTATTATATTATAGGTTTCAGTAGTAGGGGCTGAGTAATGTGTGGTATAGTATAGTAAATTTGGAATCATTAAGTGGTATTGCCCACTTTGTTGTCCATTCTTTTTTTTGACCAGATCTTGCTGTAATTCATTATGTTGTAATAGAGGGTTACAATATAAGTTATCATCATCCGCAAAAGATGCATATTTTGTTGTAAGTCTCTGGTACAGATCGCTCACATACATTATGAATAAAAGGGGACTGAGAACTGAGCCTTATTGAGCAACTGCGCTGTGTACCTGGTGCTCCTGTGAGAGACTAGTACCAATTCGTACCAGGAAAGTACGACGAGACGAAAAACCTTCATTGAATAGCCTTAGCAAATAACCCCTGACTCCAAGATGCTGAATTTTGTATTTAATGTACTTGATTGGTATTTTGTTAAACACCTTTTCGAGGTCAAGGTAGACCACGTCTATTGGTTCCCGGTTGCGATTTTACATACGCCGAGTTCGTTTTTGTCATCTTTTTCGTCGATTTGCTCCGAAATTTTGACAGGTACGTGACTGGATAGGACAGTTTCAAGTTACAAATCACGTGCCTGTCAAAATTTCGGAGGAAATCGACGAAAAAGATGGCAAAAACGAACTCGGCCATAGTATACCATGTCGAGAGCATCAAGTCTATAAGCTCCGCCCCCAAGCCCAGTCCAGCTTTAGTTCAGTATTAAAAATGTCTGTAATGCGGTATAGAATGTAATCAGCAGTGCGCAAAATGGGGTATAGTACCTACGTAATCGTGTTATAAGCTCGCACGCGGGATAACTATTTCAACCGATAACAAACCTGTATTTTGGCATTCAGACTATTTTTTAATATACTCCTGGACAAAATTATCGCACCACTGCTTATGTGCAGTGGTGCGAAAATTTTGATGTCAAGTGCATCCCTTTTTCTTGTTCCGCAAATCGGAACTGCCCTTGTTCTGTGCATTCTTGTTTAAGTTGTTCCGCTGAACTTGGACAGACAGAATTTTCGCGAAAAGCAAATTTTTGTACATTCAGAAACGTTCTCCTAACAATCCCGTTTGTATACAGGGTATCCCCGTTCAACTGGTCAAAAATACCAGGGTACCTATATAGAGGAACCTTAGAGATCCTCCCTGAAGGGCTAGGCTGTTCAAAATTTCAGGGATTATTTATGTAGGAATGATATTTAAAAATTCGTATAATGCACCCCCATTTTTCACCTGGAACTACCCAAAAAAAAATTAAAAATAAATTTTGAAAAAAAAAGCAATTTGTTTCTACTGCTACTTCTCTATGGTTCGTCTATATATCCTAGCATTTTTGACCAGTTGAACGGGGACACCCTGTATATATCGGCACTAGGCTTTTCCATGAAACTCTTAACTTCTTCTGCAAAATCACTCCCATTTGCATCTAATTAGAGCCGTAAATTCTGGACAACTTTTAAATTCCAAAGTTTCTATTTCTACTTCAGGTTGTAACTTGTTTAATTAAATCTCTAACGTACTCTGGGTTCTAGAATCCCTGGATACTTTCGGCGTTGTCGTGCTGTCTCGCTCCATTTTCAGTATGCGGCATTTATGAGAACCCAACTATAAAGTATACCGCATTTGGCGCGCATCCTAACTACATTCTATACCGTATTACAGACATTTTTAATACTGAACCAAAACTGCACTAGGCTTGAAGGCAGAGCTTATAGACTAGATGCTATCTACATGGTATACTATGTAAAATCGCTTCCTTGTTAGTTTTAAGCGGTATTGCAGTATCCTTATCTATTAGATTAAAGCTGGCATACTTCGAGTTTAGAAAATATACAAAAATAAATTATTATGGCTTTTGATAATTAGAAAATATTTTATTTCTAATATTAAAACAACACATTAATGGTTCGTTAATGATAAAGAAGTACAGTTTCAAGCTAAGATTATGGAACAGTACCTATAATATATAACTAGTAGCAAAGAGAACAAGGCTTTGTTACAGGATACTTGAACTAAGTTCAGAGTGGACGTGTGTTGTGCTTTTAAACATCATTGCAGCATGTAAAAGAAACGACACAGCATCAGAGTCCCTAGAAGAGCAGAGTTCTCAAATATTTTATCAGGGTGAATACTGCCCCATTTAAACTTGATATTTTAAAATTGTATTTGAAACTTGTGTGTTGATGGGTGAGAACGAATAGCATACAGATAATCCATGGGTCAGGTTTAATCTGACAAAGGAATAACTTTACAGTTGCAGGTGAGAAATCACTAACCATAGTGCGACAATAATAACGTTGCCTCTAACTTTGTAAAAAAATAGTAAATACAAAATGAAATAAGTGAAACCCCTGCAGCTATATACTTTACCTTGTAAAAAAATTTCGTAGCCTTAATGGATCCTAACCAAAGTATACAGAAATTGTGTTTATGTCAGAATTGGTGGAATTTTGTATTTAATGTAGATCGCGTCTTTCTGATTAACAGTTACCATCGCACTAATCCTGAAAAATTACTCCACGTAGCACACCACTGCGCCCCAAGCCTACTTATTTGTGCTACTTTGAACGACCATTACAATGTCCAAGCGTTTTACTTGTTATAGTTTTCCCAAAGTCAATTGGAACAAGGTGAACATAAATCATAACTGGTGGCGGACTAGTGGCAGTGCATTTCTTATGGAAATTTTCAGTGGCCAGTCATCCGCCAGTTGGTACCTTGTTCCAATTGAGTTCGGAAATACTATACCTATGAAAGTAATTTTCTCAAAAAGGAGTAATTTTTCAGGATTGGTGCACTGGCGGACCCAGGGGCGCGGGGAGCGCGCGCCCCTCCCTGAGAGCCTAAAAAACCACTTCAAAACTCAAAACATTTAAAGAAATCATAATATATATATAAAATTTTATAGAAAAATTTTCCAATCTGACACCATTGTTCAATTTATTGTTTGGTTTTTATAAGATACTTATAGGTCTGTTTTTGCAGAAATCACACACAACAAACCAGTCAGAGTGAATTACATTGGTGGTTTGTGACTGTTTTCAACCAATGAAATTCGCTCTGACTGAACACTACTGAAAGAGGTACCTATACTTTTTTTCCTCCAAAACTGTTAGAGATAGACCTATTAAACCTTATATCATTAGAATAAGCACAAACAGAGCTATCCAATGAGTTATTAATATACACTGTGGGCCAAATTTATCTGGAACCCAATATGGCTCTGAATATATATATTTTTTTTAATTCGACGGATTTCTTTTTTGTGTGATTATTAGGGGGGCCTTTCCCGAGGCCTTTCCTTAATTGTAGGAAGAATAATATCTAATCAAAATATACAGGGGGAGCCAAGTAAACACAAAAAGCCGCCGAATCAAAAAAATATATATATTCAGAGCCAAATTGGATTCCAAATAAATTTGGTCCACAGTGTATAGGGCCTTCTATTAAGACTGGTCAATATCTCAAAATCGGGACCAAGTATATAAAAACATTGAGTACGTCAGTGGATTCTGCTTGAAAAAGTATCCTCTAGCGGCAAAACGATTTAAGATATCAAATGAGGTTTGCAGTGTTTGCACTAATCAAGAATTAATGATATTTGAGCCTTAGCGTATGGGCTTCATTTTTTTGTATCTTGCTCAGAAATTGACCTTTCCTATCAAAAGTGTCCAAATTGGACCACTCTGTACTTTCTTTAATCTACAAGTAAAGTCAAAATAAATGTCCAAAAAATCATTGGTGATAATTCTAAGCCTGCCTGAAGAAAATCCTGGGTCTGCCACTGAATTGGTGCAATGGTAACTTTCAATCAGGAAGGCGTGATCTACATTACATACAAAATTCAGCCAATTCTGACATAAACACAATTTCCGTATACTTTCGGCAGGGTCCTTTATAAACTGAATGGTGCCAGCCAAGCCAATTCAAGTAACGCCTTACCATCTATCAAAAACAACAATTTTCCATCCAATTTTTATTAATTAGAAAAAAAATTACAATTACAGTTTAAAACTTCATAAAATGGGGTTCCATGAAACCACAATATTTAGTGATTTATTTTCGAGACTGTGGTTTGAACAATCAATTACCCAAAAAAAAAAGCTATCAATATTTTAGACACAACAATTATTGTTATTTATCACACAATAATCACGATCCGCCTCGGCCACTGCGATTACCTCGTGGTCTACCACCTCCTCTGTTTCTTTTACCACTCCGACTACTTCTAGGAGACCCACCCCTTCCTCTATTTCTCATACGAAAATCATCATTCCAATCGTCTCTCTGATTATTAAAACTACCCCTACCGCCACCACGGAAATTATTCCCGTTTCTTTGCCAGTTAGAATTTTGACGTTCCTCTTCATAGTAATCATCATTATTGTAATTATTTTCACCATAATCATCATATTCTGGCGGACCAGAATTATCACGATAATCTTCATCGCCATATTCGTCATAGTTCCTCTGAGACCGTGAGGGAGCTACAAAATTCAATGGACCGTTATTTGGGAAATTTCTATTTCCCATTGGCCCAGATCTCATTGAATTATTATCCATTGGACGATTATGTGGTGCATTGAATTGGCCTAGTGGTGATCGATTTCTCATATCAAAATCATCACTAGCACCATGATTTTGTCTGAAATCGATATCTTGATCCCCAAACATTCTCAAATCGCTGTCTCCTTTTGGATTGAAAACTCTCATATCGTGATCCATAGACGTCATCTCTTCATCCATAAACTGATTGGTGCTGCTATCGTCCAAATCTTCTTGGCTGATGGCACTAGCGCTGACGTTTAGCATTTTTTCAATTTCGTCATGGTTAGTGTCTTTCAAATACTCTTCTTCGTCTGGATCTCTTATAGGCATGACATCGTGAAGTTCCTCTATAGCTCCAGAGTCTATGTATTTTTGTAAAGATTCGGGACCTTCCGAAATAGCTTTTTCCAACTTAGAACCACTCTCAACAGGAATTAGTTTGCCATAAATTATGATGGCATTTGGGGCGATTTTTTCCAAAGGTACCACTCCAGGAACTTTTTCTGGGCCGGCAGTATCGTTCCATTGCGCTTGGAAATTTCTCGGAATAGGCTTACTAAAAGGCACTTTCTTCGGCTTAGATTTGTCCTCGTTTGTTAGTAAACCAGAATCTAAGTCCAGGCCAGGAATGGCTGTGTTTTCGTCGCAGATTAAGGATGTTAGGTCTACTTTGTCTTCGAGACCCATGCCTGGGATAACTGCATTTAGTTCATCTGGAAAAGGGATCATGTTTTAGAAAGAAAAATATTTGATGGAGGATGTCTTCATATCATGATAGTTGAGATTGGAAAAAATATACAGGGTGATTTACGTAGTCCGTGCATTAGAAGTTTTTGAGGTTGCAAGGGGATTAGAAACCTCAAATTTGGTTTGTAGGTATAATCGTTTCGGTGTCACCTATAGTATATTTCCTAACTAGTGCGGAAAGTACCACTTTTCCGAACGCGATTGCAGTTTGCCGAACGACGCGTAGAGGAGTTCGGCAAGCAATCAAGTGCGGAAAAGAAACTTTCCTCACGAGTTAGGAACACTATTTTTTTCTACTAGATGAAAGGTAATATTTTTACCTACATATACTACCTGTTTACCTGTAAGTACCTGTGTACCTAAAATTTCAGGTATTCTACTTTTCCGCACTCAAAAATCGGAAAAGAACTAGGGCGGAAAAGTGGTACTTTCATGACCTGAAAAAAAAATATTTTCGGATCTTCAAATATACAGGGTGTACCAAATGTAAGCCCTAACTTTCTTATTTCAAATAGTAACTCGCATCTTTTTCAACACAGTTCAGTTGGCCTTGCAATTTTAAGTTTATACCACTCAAGTTTTGTCAACCTATCTTTTATAGTTTTTGACATAAATGTCATTTTTTGTTTCAAATTACCGTTGCAGTTCTTCAGGAAAAAGAAGGTTTCTCGAAAACCATTCCTAAATAATAAACTAAATTTGGAAGATAAATGTCTGAAGGTTCAGGCTAACTTATGATACGACATTAGCGCGCTTTTTCCATACCATAATATGGTTCGGAATCAATAATGGTGAAAAGATCAATTTTGTGACATTCAGAGGTGACATTTAAAAAAATTGACTTTATGACTGTGTTATGACCATCATTAGCCGACAGTTTCAATTTACAAATCACGTGCCTGTCAAAAATGCGAGTTTCTATTTGAAATAAAAAAGTTAATGCTTACCTTTGGTACACCCTGTATAGTTGAAGATCTGAAAATATTTTAGGTGACACCGGACTGATTGATTATGATTATGGCTAGAAACCAATTTGAAGTTTCTAATCCCCTTGAAACCTCAAAAACTTCTAATCCGTGCTTCTAATTCACGGGCTACATAAATCACCCTGTATATTAACACGGCGTTCTGTTTCTATTTGTGGAGGAAGGTGAAAATTAAAGTGGGGGCAGGACTGGGAATGTAAATAAATTTCAAATGTGTGACACTACGGCACTGATATTTAAACGTATTGTGACATTGTGACAGTGACGATTGGATTCACATTAAATTCTATCATTAATCTGAAGACGCATATCAGCGTTGTGTCACATCACAACTTCAGGAAATGACGCTGATCTGCGTATCTGTCTTTCAACGTGTTAACAATATTTGTTCGAAATATTAGTAAAATCACTTATGTTGTTATATACACACCTGGCAACGCAACGTCTAAATGCAGTGCAATAGAAAGATATGAAAATTTGATATGCAAAGACTTCAGTGGAATAAGGACAGAGAAAACGCGTACTCTAGCAGATTCCCCTTCCACTGGCCTGAGGACCCGAACGACCGAAGTGCATCGACTTGCTGGTATAAACACCATCCTCGAATACTTCAATGAAGTCCCAATCAAATTCTTCAGTCCTTCAGCTTACGGACCCACCCTGACCAGAAACCTTGCCACCCTCAAGTTCGACCCACACAACCCCGTTAAACACCGACCCATTCACCATAGATTGCCAATATATTTAGAGCCACCTTGAACCGACGAGCAAATGTAATTAAATTGGGAATTGTCATTAGAATAGTTCACTAGGAACCGCAATACCATTGGCGCTCCTGGGTCCCACCCACGGAGACGCCCACCTAATTTAATTATAAACGCTCTACTCGGAGACTGGCGCAAGCTATGAATTTAATACCAAAGAATATCTTGGTAACTATGGAATGACAACTGGACATTGTAATACTAACACAACATAAAGTCAAAACTGTGAATAGGCCTATGAGGAGCACCATTGCGTGCCCCAGTAAAGAGCCAAGCCGGACTGATTACCACTATCACCCCTAGATTCTGGCCACAACATCGGCCGTGCCCTTTTGGTGCAACACCCCTTAGCCATTAGCACTGTATCGATGTATTGTTTTTCATAAATATTTATGTTGTATATACCTATATATAGTAGGTTCAGGTAGTTTTAAGTAAAATGTAATAATGGACAATAAAGACCAAATGCAAAAAATGCAAAATGCCTGAGGACCAAAAAGGGAGAAAACGAACGCATTTTGAGAGAGGGGAATGCTGGAGGTGGAACAGGGAAAATCGCTTTCGTTCTCTATCTAATCTTAGACTTATTTTAGACATTTCATGCTATTATATTAACATTGGCTAGTAAGATATTGACTTGCCAAACCTATATAGGGAAAAAATGAGAGTTTTTGGAATTATGAACATAGGATAGGCTTTGACTTTATTTTCGGCAATGAGGATCCTTGATAAGACTCAAATAATTTGTCAAGTAAAATTTTGTCATCCATTTTCATGTTTGAATATATCAAATTCTCAAACAAATCCTTACCCCCTATATCAGCTTCTTCAAACCCAGCTATTCCAGCTGGTTGCAAGTTAAGATTATATTTATCCCTCATCAAGTCTCCAGGTCGATTCCTGGTCCAAAATTTGCTAGTATGATCATTGGACCCAGAACACAATATATGCCCCAAAGGATGCCAGGCTAAGGTCCACACAATACTGTCGTGAGCTTGCTCTATTGATCCCACTTCTTTGTCAGCGCCAACGTGCCAAAATACAATTGCGCCATCTGAACCTCCGCTGGCAAACAGGCCTTCGTGGACTGGATGCCACGCCACGCTGGAAGCCTCTTTTTTGTGACCTCTAAAAGTCTGAACTTCTTGGCTTAGATTTCTAAGATCGAACAGTTTCAGTAGGTGGTCTCTGGAAGCTGTTATTAGCCAGTTTCCGTTGGCGTTCCATTTAAGGTCCATAACTGTGGATTTGTGGGCGTGACTGAAAACATATTAAGTTAGAATCAAAAAATACTTGACTCAGAAATCAATCAGAACCCATGAGATACCAATGATTATTGTCCATTCTAAATATTTTTGAGTCATGTGGTTGGCGATATACTTACAGTGTCGCAAGTGATTGGCCCGTTTTAGGATCCCACAATTTGATTGGCTGTTGGTTGTCTTTGCTGCCAGACACGATAAGGCCTTTTTGTGGGTGCCAATGGACACATTTAACATCAGCACCGTGACCTAAAATATTTTAGCATTAGAAAATGAATTTTATAATTTTTTGCTTTATTAAGTTTTTCACTTACCTCTGAGCATGCGCTCTTCCTGATACCGTAGAAAGTCCCATATCCGTAGAGTACCGTCGTCAGAGCACGTTACGAACTTGTTGTCGGAAGGACTGAAGCTAAATAACAATTTTTATATCACAATTTATTTTGGTTAGTTGGGATGAGAGTTCAATGTGCAGCAATCTCAAATTTCACAAATTTACATTGAACAAACATCAATTGACTTTTGCTTTGATTTTGAGGGTAAAATGCAGCCTAAAGAAATAAATTTGAAGCATTTAACTGACTTCAAGTGAATTTCTTTATAAATAAAAACATATTCCAACTGTGAAGGTTTTATTTACAATTAAAAATTATACATATTCGTTGCGGGATTCTGATGGTCCGAAGTTCACCACGCTTGCACTGTCTTGTAGGTATCAGAATTTATTTTAAGCTTTTGGACTGAAAAAGCTTGAACTATTCCAGAATTCCAGGAACACAATTTTTTAATGGAAATCAACTAAGATGTGGAGAGATTCGATTATGGGAAACAGATTTATTTGTTTGAATTGTAGTCTTGAGATGAGGGATATAACTTACAAAAAAGGGCAAAAATAACATGGGAGGAATTATATGATTTCACCATACAATGATTATTGGGCCTTCGCTTTTTTTTCCAAGGTTGTTTTCAGGAGTGTTGTATTTTTGTTGATGGAACAGTCATACGTGAAAACATTTAAATATATTTTCTCTGGAGTTACAATTGAAACAAAGTTAACTAGTATTAAATATAATATAAATGAATAATGAAAAAATAATCAAAATGTTTATCAAAATTAGATTTAATTTCAAATTTTGATTAAAAAATGGGATTCCGCACTCCGGAAAGAAATAAAACACCACCCTCTAATTGAAAACAATTCTATTATTTGCGAAAGTCAGCGCAAAAATAAAACACTTTTTGGTGTTTTTTGATGAATTTATTTTTTTCATACACAATTATCAGATACAATTTGTCCATGATGTCAAATCCTTATTCCAATTTTGTGTTGGTTGTATTTTTCTCTTGGGATAGACAATTATTGCACATTAACAACTGTAACGAAATGATAACTGAATAAAATTATTGATTATTGAATATATCTTGCATAAATGATTCAAAAATATTTCTCCAAAATAAGTTTGCCTCTTCAATTGCGACACATGAGATTTCTTCAGATTTATAGGTAGAAATTTGATACCTTTTATTTATGTATTTCATATGCACATTGTGCCCAAGACCTAAACCAATTTACCAAGAAATATATACATATCTAATTAAAAATAAACTGCATTTTACCTTAAAAATATAGCAACAAATTCTAAAACTATTCCCCAATTAAAAAATACACCATACATCTGCCAACCTGTGAAATATTCAAATATTATTTTAAGGAAAAAAGGGAGGATGAGATCGGGTAACTTTATTATTAAAAATAATATTTTTTTTTATTTAACAAATATTTTTCAAGAAGATCCAATGACTATAAACGAAAATTCTTTAGTGCTTTTTTTTTTGTTAGTATTTTCTTTTTTATTACTAATCAGCTAACGTCGAAACCCGAAAAATAAAAAAGGCAAATCCTTGTATATTCCCACCCGAGCATTTCACAAACAGGGTAGAAATATACCAGGACTTGCACTCCAAAAAATCCACTTAAAATCGAATTTATTCCAAGAAAAATATCACATACAATATTATCACATAATTATTGCACTAATTAAAAAAAAAATAAGATGGAGATTGTGGGACGGGGAGGCAGAGATTTTATTTAAGAAAAAACAAAACCTTAATTATACAAAAAGTCAACAAAATTTGAAGTTGTAGATACCTTATACCGCGCAGAGCCTCTTTGTGTGCCTGGAACACTTTAACGTTGTTCATGTTGGATTGCCAGTACTTCACGTAGCCCGCATGATCTCCAGTTACCATCCAACTGTCATTGTGACTCCAAACCATTGTTCGGACTGGACTATCGTGAGCCTTAAATATAAAAAATGACAAATTAATATTTATGTTGTAGTTTTAGGATTGGCTAGTTCATAAACTGGCTGGATAGCGGATACATACATTACATTATAACACAATTTAGAAGCAAATATCGCTCTTACTTAACCGGTACAATTACTTTTTGTGAGTTATTAAAAGTGCGGCATATAACTAAATTATATTATTATTAAAACGATGGGATTATTGATCTTTCTGGTACATTGTGCATGTGGAAAACACTAAATAATGGGCACCTGTGCTCAGAATTGCTTGGGATCAAGGTGTCATTCATGGAAATTTTGAACAATTTTATAAGTTTCAATGAGGTCAGTTCAAGATTGTTATTTTAGAAATATATCATTTCAGATAAATTATTATTATTAAAGTGGATGTTTTGTTTGAAAACTTCGTCTATAGAAGCAAAATTTGTAAATCTACATCTTGGAAATAATTATGGAGTTTCAGAGGCTGCGACCTTCAATATCCAATACTAGTTTTTCTTCATCTTTTTGCAAATGATTCTTTCGATATTACCATCATAACATTATTGTATATACATACTATACATTTATTTTTTGATTTTCAGTTTGATTTCTTAACAAATAAGTTATAATGTTAGCAGAATAATAACATCTAGGTAATAGGCTAGTATCAAAAACAAACAGAAAAAAACTACTTTAGTTTCTTTATTTCAAGCAAATTAATCAAGTACTTTAATGACTTTATGAAGTATCCACTGATAAGATAGTTTTTGGTCTTTTGGCTATATCCAGCTAGTTTACAATTTCACCCTGTAATATTTATAAAAAAAAAAAAAACAAATATCCTTACTTGCAATATAGTTTCAAAATTAAACGTTAATCCGTTCCACAAAGTAAATTCTCCTGAACTAGCTCCAGTAACTAATCTTCGACCCTCAGGAGTCCATGCCATACAAAATATAGGGCACCTCATTTTATTTGTTGCAGTTTTCACAAATCTAGTAGTGACGCAATTTATAGGATTATCTTGATACGACGGAGGAGGCATAAGGTCTGGTGTGTACATGCAATCTGGTTGTAATACTCTTCGGTCTCTGTAGTCTCTTTGCCAAATCCGATTCTTATTAAACGAAATAATAAAATGTTGAATTAAATACCGGACGATTTTGAAATTGTGTTTAACTTACTTCTAGTTCTTTAATAACCGCCGCATTATAGTCAACAGTTTTTCTCATGACAGATTTTCTGAGTCGTTTTCCATCGAAATCTTCTAGAGTCATGTTTCCTAAGGGGCCTGGCAATGGTTTCATGAAAGGTCGGAATGGTTGTCTGTTCTGGTTGAAACCTGAAACAAGACTGCAACTTTAGTGGACCAAACTTACAAATTACAAATCTAAGAATTTCAATTCACTGCACTAAAGTTTTGTAAATGTGAAGATTTTATAATAGATGACATTAGTAAGATGCTGAAGATAAATACAGTTTGTCACTTTTTTTGTTTGTTTGACTAAACGATTTATTTGTGAATAGCAAACAGTAAAAATTAGTGGTAACAAGTCCTAATACAATAATATAGTTGTCTAACTTAAATATATTAGGTAGGCCAACATCCAACCAAAATGAACTAAATTTGATGTGAGGTCTTTCAAGAAGAAATATAATATTAAAACATTCAAAACCAGAATCACAAACCTTAAACATGTAAAGCCTGGCGAAGCCGTCAGGCCCGATGGTATTTATTTATGTCCTTTGAGATTATGGTATACTGCATTTTCTAGACCTTCTAATAATCTGGGTGGAACTTTGTTGTAGGTTTGTATACATCTATAGGTGGGAGAGTTCTGGCCCTTCTTAGTTCTAGCCGAGGTTCTAGCATAGGTATTTCTAATTTGTTTTCTCATTCTAAGATTGTAGTTGTGATAATCTCTATTCAGTGTAGTCTACACATTTGTTTTAATTAGGTGGTTTTGTATTTTGTACATAAGTTTTGCCTGCTCAAACATCTTCAACTGATCAATTTTTAGTGTTTCACTGGGTGCATAACAGTGCCTAAAGAATATTGTTTTTATTGATTTGTTTTACAGTCTTTGTAGCTGTTTTAACTGTTCCAGAGTAGCATATCCATAGCATGGTATCATATACCTGAAGTGTGGCTCGATGAAACTATTATAGATTAAATATTTTGACTTTTCATTTAACATATGTCTACACCAAGGTCTAGACCTTCTCACAGCACCCAAGAATGGAGCAATTTTTGCATGAATACTTTCAATGTGTGCTCCCCATATCAGTTTGTCTGTTATTATAAGACCTAAATATTTATATTGCTCCACTTTTTTGAGAATTTTGCCATTAATTTTAATTGGTGGGCTTATTGTTCAAAACTCAAAAATTCAAAATAGTTTATTGGTGTTATAGCCCTCAGCATACTTCAAACTTTGGACATATAAAATGTACTCTAAAGGTCCTAGTAGGTACAGGGCCTTGGGCAATACCGACATAACATTACATTTTCGGCGCTGCTTATTTCATCATTGACTTGGGTGCACTGTTTTCTGCCCAGAGAGTATGTTTACAGCAAGTTATGGCATGTCGCTTGAAATCCCATTTTTTCTAACTTATCTAGCAACAATGCAATATTCACAGTATCGAACACTTTTTTGTAGATGGACAAACACACTTACAACGTATCTGCTTTTATCCAGTTCACTGGAAATATATTCTAGAAGATCCACTGTTGCCCCAAGTGTACCTACTACTTTTTTGAAAACCATACTGGTGACTATCGAAGTTAAAGTGCGTATTAATGAATAAGACAAGTCTGGTTTTTATAATCTCTTCTGTAATCTTGCTAAATGTACTCACCAGTGATATTGGTCGTTAATTATTCAAATCGTCATGTGCTCTTTTTTATATACCAGCACAATTTTTGCAGTCTTCAGCTCTTCAGGATACTGTCCACTTTCTAGGATGTGGTTGATAATTTCTACTATTTTAGGTCCAATAATGTCAAAAAGTGTTTCAGTGTCTTTTTTTGTTATTTTGTTCAAACCAGGAGTGTAACTGTGTTTTAAGTCTTTTATTGTTTTTTCTACTTCTATTATATTATTTATATTTGTGTGTTGTAGTAAAATGCTTCCTCTTTCTTGGAACGTTACTCCCGTTCTGCTATTTATTTTAGTTGCTAATGTCAATCCAATGCCTGAAAAATGTTCATTAAAAGCTGCTGCAATATCTGCATCCTTGTATGTTTTTCCATCTTTATCCATTACTCGATTTATATTCATATTTTCATAAGTTCTATTACAAAGACCATTCAGTACTGCCCATGTTTTCCTGGCATCACACTGTGCTTCATTAAACTTCTTTTCCGCATACTCTTTTTGTAATTTGATTCTAAGCCTTATTTTTCAAATCTTTAAATTCTTTCTCAGTATGTTAGTTTTATATCCATCTGACATATGGTTTGTCCCGTTCTTTTAATTTTTCAATATATGCATTTGTAACCCACAAATTATCATTTCTCACTTTTATTGTGGTCTGATTAGTATATTCTTTTTTTTTTGTATTGTTTATACGAGCTGCCAGTGTCTCAAATTTATTATTATTATTACTCTCATTTATGTTTTTTTCTACTACCGTGCGTAAAGTACTCACTTTACGCACTATTCAGAAGACGTAAAATTCCACTTCACGCACTAGTGCGTAAAGTAATTCACTTGACACACTGGTGCGTAAAGTAATGTCAATGACAGATGTCAACACTGTCAATTTAGTATTTGTCTAAATCATTTTTTTTTGCACTTATTTGATTGGTAGTAGAAAAAATTTTGTATGCAATACGTGCGTAAAGCACCTTTTTTTCACTCATGTGATTGTCGCACTCGCCTTCGGCTAGTGCGTCAAAATTCACATTCGTGAAAAAAGGTTCACTTTACACACTTGTTGCATAAATAACTATTCTGTACGTTGATTTTCCATTTTTTGGTGTTCCGTGTTTTTTTTTCTAATTTTTTGTTTAGTATTTTTATCTAAGATTTTTTTGACCTCCAAAAATATGATTCAAGTAAAAAATTTGGCAAAATATCTTTCACGAACTTTACTGTGAAAATACCTAGTAGGTAAGTGAGTTGTACTTATTTGAAAATATTTTCTTTTCTAATAATAAAAACAAAAAATTGCATTTTATCATCTCTAATTTATCAAGTCTTATTTAGTTTATAAGCCAGTCAAGGCTTTGGCTATTATGTGTTACTAGATACTATGGATTTTACTCGGGATTTTATATTAGCTAGGTTGTCTCGAATCATTTATAAACTAACCAGCTATTTTAGTTTTTTAGTTTTTATTTAGTTTTTTCTCAATAACTTCAAGTAAATCTCTTGGTTAGTTTGAGATAGTTAGTTTGTTAACTATCCAGCTAGTTTACAAACTATCCTGCTAGTTTACAAATTATCTAAGTTTGCATATACAGTGTGATTTTTTAAGTGTGCAACATATGGGGATTTTTTTTAGTAATAGCACAACCCAAATACAAACAAGGCCAAAAATTGGTGCATGTCTGATAATCATATTAGGTGCACTTAGAATGGTTGAAAGTCAAACAGCATACAGGGTAGCTCAAACAATATCATCCGTGGTTAATATTGACAGAAAAAACGGTTCGTCTGTTTCTAAAAACAAACATGATAATTTCAAATATATACAAACCATATATGGTTAGAATCCTCTTAGATCTAAATACACCCCGACATGTTTGTAAAAAGGACATCTTATAAATTATTCTTAAAGTACTTTTCTGAACAACAAAAATGTCTTGAGCACCAAAAATACAATAGTCCAACAATATAGCATATGGACATATCAATTAAATCAGTAAAAAAAAAAATGGTTACAGTCTCCAGGATCACACTAACACCAATTCAAAAATTAAAGATGTTAAAAAAAAATGAAAAATAAGTACAAGTTAAGAAATCAAAATTCGATAAAATTAGTTTATATCACAGGCTCGATCACAGGATATTTTTTATTTTTGCGCCAAACACATTTAAAGAATCATAAAAGATGTCTACATCACCATTTGCAAGCAATTTATTTGCACTATCCGAAAAGCGTGTCAGAGATGAAGATAAACCATAATTCGTTCTATGAAATGGAATGCTAAACAGGTTTACCCCTCTCAGATATCTCTGTGGCATTTTAAGCTCTAACAAAGAGCAATAATTCTGGACAGTCTATGTAGCCATTTAAGATTTTATCTAGAGTTCTCATATCAATATATTTTCTCCTATTGCTGAGAGTTGTAAGATAAAGAGAGTGAAATATTTCTTCATATACAATATCCTCATATGGTATACTCAATTTAAACCCAACAAATTTTACAAACCTCTTCTGCACTCTTTCAATCTTCTCTCTCAACTGACTATAGTAAGGAGACCAAACCTGACAAGCATATTCCAAAACTGACCTTATGTAAGAGCAAAATAGAGTTCTAAAGCAATGAATACTACTAAAGTCTTGCAGAGTTCTTTTAACAAAACCCAGCAATGTTAATGCTCTATTAGTTATATAGTTAACATGAAAGTTGAAACTCAAGCTACTGTCAAAAAAAAACTCTTAGCTCTTCTTTACTTTTAAGTGAAGTATTATCTAGGGAATAATCGAATTCAATAATATTTTTCAATCTATAAAACGTTACAATAAAACATTCATCGACGTTCAATGTCATACCATTTGTATTGCACCATTCACTGAAACCATTTAAATCTTGAATTCTCAAACAATCACTCAAATCTTCAATAACTCTGGAAATATTTAGGTCATCTGCATACAAAAGACATTTGGAATATTTCAAGCACTCTGTTACATCATTGATGAAAATATGAAATAAAAGTGAACCCAAATGTGAAACTTGCGGAACGCCAGAAGGGACCAATATCTCTTCAGAAACAAAACTGCTACTTTCACCTGTTGTTTTCTGTTGGTCAGATAATTATGGAACCATTGCAGGAGATTGCCAAACACACCATACCTCTCAAGCTTTCCCAAAAGCAGAGTGTGGCTAACCTTGTCGAAAGCCTTTGAAAAGTCTGTGTAGATGGCATCCACCTGGTTACCGCCCTCAAGAGAACTATTCAAGAAATGCTCATAAACATGCAAGTTACTCACGGTGGATCTACCAGCAATACAGCCATGTTGGTTTTCATTTGAAATTGATTGATGATCTATGATAATCTCAAAAATTTTCGCTATTAAAGACATTTTGCTTATTGCCCTGTAGTAAGTAACATCACTTTTTTCGCCACCTTTGAATATAGGAGTTACAAATGACTTCTTCCAGACATC